GCCAAAGAGGCGCCTTTAAATGCATTACGGTACAATAGCCTAAGTGAAATACATGGGTGTATTTCATGCTGGATTCTCACTTATGGTGGGCTTGAGATAGCTGTTACATCCATACAGACAAGAACGTTGCCCTTTGTAACCAAATCAAACAATATGCTATAAAATCAGATGCGAGAGAGAGAATTGATGGCTGCTAATAAAATAATAATTAAAATAATTAATTTGATCTGTTTTAAGTTTTTTAAAAAAAGTACTTGAAATGACTTTTCCAAACTCAAAACTGTATTTCCTTAAATATCTTTGCCAATTGTTGCTAATATTAGCGGTCTGTGACTTGAACTTTTTGTCATCATACAGGCTACCGTATTGGATCGAGTATTTACATTGCTACAGAACATTTAGAAATAGGCAAAGTACTATCAAATTCCAACATCATGTTCTGATAAATCAAACCATTCAACGATTGTTCTGACAAAGGCCCGTAATGACCACCTTCAGCGGTTAAGCTATCTGCACCTCAATACTTTATATCTTCCATACATTAAGTGCAACATCACTGAGATGACCAAATGATTGCCCAATGAAAATCTGCAAATGCCAGGCCTTTTATAGAGTTATCAACCGTTATCACGTTGGAACGCTAAACATTCACACCGTGTCTGAAGAACAATGCCGTTCGATGCTGAATATCTCTCAGGAAATGAATTAATGGACATGTAAATATTAGAAAGAGCCAAAGATAAAATAATATATCCTCAGAGAGGTTTAATTCTTTGTTCAAAGTATAAGAAAATACTTTATGAACAACCTTTCACATTCTGCTGACAAGAAAAATAACAGCAAATAAAAGGCCTTGTTGTCTGTTTCAACAAAAAAACAGAATCTCTTGAATGAAATTAACATTTTTCAATGTTTTAGAAGAACACAAATATATGGCAATTACCACACAGAAAAAAATAAAAATGACATGAACTTTTGCTCTAAACAGTTTCTTGGCACTCATGTAAAAAAAAAAAAAAAAAAA